ACACCCTACTTACTTCATACGCCATTACTGCCCCTTGCACATGAGCTGTCCGTTGAAATTACTTTTCAGTCTAACCTAAAATTGATGCTAAGTTCTTCTGAGAATATAACCAATGTTAATACAACTTGGAGAGGTATGGATTTACTTTTTTAATATCCTAAGTGCACACAATGGAGACAACCCACCACCATCCGAAGCGGAACCAACGCCACCAAACCCCTCTCTAGAAAGTGTCTGTCTGGACTTCGTCTCTAGAAAAACTGTATATTTTTTTTACAGACATGAAAAACATTATAATTATATATCATGTGGCATAAGTTTTATTACTGACTTGCCATTATTTTGGTACTAAAATGTATTTCTATATTCTTTCCTGCAAAATTTACTTCCATTAGAATTATATTGCTGGGTCTTTTTACCTCCCACTCTTGTGCTGGATGGAATTACTTTTTTCTGATTGTTAACTAAATAAATCATTCCAGTGCAACTCGTGAAGACATTTTTGCATTACTTTCTTTACCATAAATTCAATGGGCTAATGAATCATGACATGATTCGTTTCTATAATAAACTGTAACAAAGAAACCTGACACTAGATAAATAGTAGTTGAATACAAAAATGTGCATGTCATCTATTTTTGCGGCACTCCACCTGGATTTTGTAAGTAAATGAAGTCAGTGGTGAGAACTACGATGTGCAAGAGACAGCACTTAACTAAAGTTGTAAGAATGAACAAGACTTGGTGTTTGCCCTCTGGGCTGGATGGGAAAACACATACGTGAACAACTGTGACACACGCAGAATGTGGTGAGTACCAACAGTCTTACACAATGATATCGAGGTTCCAGGGAAGATGAAATTACAGCCCGTTGGGAGAATCGGAAAAGTTTCACAAAGGAGGGAAGCCCAGACATCTTCAAGGATGAGCACGCACTGACTGGACAGAAAGGAAGGATGATCATCCGGAAAGAAGGAGCAACAAGAAGAAAAGCATGATGGTGGAAGGTGACCTTCAGGAGCCACATGTAGTCAGCTTTGTCTGTATCGTGGGGGTCCATGAGAATACAGCCTTGAATGCTGAATTGAGAAGTTTTTCAAAAGTTCAATGGATGGTGAGCAGCTAGTTGTAGTTTTGAAACAAGATAGCATCGTGAAGGTTAACATGAAATTAATGCATAAAACAACATAGAATTGAGAGAAGAGAGGCATCTAGGGAATAACTGGGAACTAAGAAGTCTCCCAGGAGGAAACGAGTAAAAATGAAGGTTTGGAGAATGGCAAGGGGGACACAGAGAAGATACGAGGATCAAAAGACAATGCAGAGGTAAAGATAACAGACTCTGCCAACCAGAGGGGTGCCATGAACAGCAACAAGAACATCAGGAAAAGACGGATCCGCTTTTGAGGCACCCCACCCGGAGACACAGCAGCCTAATGCAACTCTTCCCTCTCTGAGAGTCAGGGGTCCTAGAACTCACCTAGCTATCACATGGGCACATCCGAGGCTTTCTACAACATGACAGAATATGCACAAATCTCTTGACATCTCACTCCACTTCCTTTGTTTGTTCATTCAACATAGTAAACACAAGTGCTTATTCCCATCAAGAGGCACTGCACTGAGCATTATCAAGGATAAGACTCTATCTTCACTTTTAGGCTGGTCCTGATGCAACTCTGGCAGAGAAGGGTGTTTTTTCTTCTGGCATTTTTTTTTCGCCCATGAAAACGGCTTCACTGTTTTGCAATTTCAAAAATAAATTTAAATTTAGAAAAGAAAATAATTCGTTGCAATAAAAATGTGGAAGACAAAGTTGCAAAAAAAAAAATCTCAGAAAAGAGAGCAAAAAGAGAAAAAATGGGAGAGGAAGAAAGTACAAAAACACCAGAGCAGCAATCTAAGAGGTTCAACATCCAAAAAGTGAGCATTCTAGAAAGCAAGAAAAGAGAAAATAAAAGGAAGAAAATCCTTTAAAAAATAATTTAAGGTAATTTCCTAGAATTGAAGGACATAGGTTTGCAGACTACAGGGCTACTGAGTGCCCAGTACAAAGGATGAAAATAGACCTACGCCGACACATATCATCCGTTCTCAGAACACCAGGGATAACAAGACCGTGTAAACTGCCAGAGAAAAAACAGTAAGAAGGTCCTTCTCATCCCAGCCCTGCACACCCCTCCACCCAGTGGGGCCTCCCCCACTACAATACAGCACGGCCCCCTCCCCACCACCCTCCCGTCCACTGTGAGTCAGGTCATGTTCCTCCTCTGTTTGAAACCCTCTTGTAGCTAACAGTGCTCTCAGAATAAATGAAAATGTAAAGAACACAGGGGAATCAGACTTTAAAACCACCTCTAAAGTTTGATGATGCTTATGAGCACTGACATTTTTGAATGAATGGATAAAAGATTCTGCTTTACAGAGAGCTACCAAAGTGGAATTTTTCTTCTTCCCACCTCACTCTTCAAGTCTTGTTTTCTCTTCCTTTTGCCGTTTTCCCTTAGGCATCAGCCCATACTTTTTAATGCAGAACGTCAGCACTATCAGTGCCAGCATCACGCCACGTGACCCGCTCCTGGAGCAGCATTTTTAATGCCACAAGTCGTGGCAAGGTTTCAAAAAAGCAATTGAGAAGTGGCCAAAGTTCCCATGGGAAACAAGATTCCTTCAGTTCTCCATGGGGGTGTTACGAGGGAGAGAAAGAACACCTTGAACATGGAACAGTTGTATCCAATCAGCCTCGGTTTCCCAAATCTGCATTGGCCCTCAGATTATCACAAGTTTAGGGATTAAGAATTATATATGCCCTGAATAATATAAAAAGTGCACAATATATATCCAACCAAACTGAACTGATGAAACGGAACCCCAGTTTCTTCAGACAGTATGATAAGCTTACACTTTTGGTTCCATTTGTTCAGTAAATATTTATTGAACGCTCACTTCATCCCAGGCACTTTATTTGGGTGTTGGGTAGGCAGCAGTGAAGGGACAGCGTCGGGGCATGCCCTCTTGCCACGTACGTGCTACTGAGAGATCACGAACAAGACAGGCAGGGTGGTGGCACGCACAGGGGCTAGGGAGAAGGTTTGTGAAAAAGGACTTAGGCTGGTGTCAGAGGGAGACTCTGGGGAGATGCTTTCCACCTGAGACCTGAACAACGAGAAGGAGCCGGCCATCGAAGACGGAGGAAGACCAGGCACGAAGGACAGTGAGAGTCAAGGCCCTGCGGTAGAAACACGGTGGAGTGCGTGAAAACCGAAAACAAACACAGACTGGCCAGAACGTAACACAAACGAGGACGAAGGTAGGATGAGAGTGGAGAGGACAGCGGTGGCCATTTCATGTAAGCGCTGGTCAGGCCACGGTCAGGGATGGACTTCTCTTCCTCATAATGAGCAGTATTTTTCTAGAAAACTCTCTGTAAGACCACCTCTTTCATACCATTTCCCGTGCCACTGTACACATTTACTGTTAACTTCCAAGAAACAAGCAAATGAAATTTTTTTCATCTTTTTCATATTTTCCACTTGACCAGTCACCTACACATAAGACAAAAACTTTTTTTTTTCAAATGAGGATACAGTTCTACCTCGTTCCTGGGGGAAAATTTCTTGAGAAAGGAATTAAGGAGATTCAACATCAGGTCAGTATTTTTTCTGTGCCTAAGATTGTTCAGCATGCCATCACCCTGCACAAGCTGGGACTGGTGGGGCAGGGTCGAAATCTTCATTCCAGCTAGTTTGTGTTCCAAATGCCACATTATGTCAAGATACTTTAAAATTCTCCGTGTTCTTCCCTCCCATGTTGGTGCATACATACAGGTGCGTCTCCTTACCTTCCACTCTGCATCAGTCTCGCCGCTGAGGGCGCTGCTGGATCCACAGAAGCATCATCCATCAATGTAAGCACAGGCTTCTGCCAGAGGCACTTGGTTAGGGTTTGCCAGCCAACGTAAAACAAGCCATTTACATCGATTCAAGGGATCCATAAAGCTGAAAGTCATGGAGGAGTAGCTGCTAGTTAGGACAAGAGTAACAGTACAACGGAGACAAAACTATTTCATTGAAAGGCTTTCAGGGACCCATTTTCCAGTGTCACTTTTGCTGTAATGCACAATTGCCCCAAATAATGCAGGAATCAAAAATTGCCGAAAGGAATGAAACCAAAACACAGTGCGCCGACTCTACAGGCAGGATGCTCTATTGTAGCATTCCCCAGCCACCTACCCAGCCTCGTTAATGAAATGGGACCCTAAAATATCATTCCTTCTGAACACTTAGAAAAATAGCTTTGTTTCTTCTACGAGAAAATTATTTAAGTTCAATAAAATTGAGATGTATTTATGGTGAAGTCTTTTCTTTATTTAAAAAACCAAAATGCTGTGTGTATACTGAGTCTAAGAGAGTCTCTGGTCCTGCGAACAACCATGTCACAACGTGGTTGTCTCGAGTCAGTGTTATACAGACAGCACTCTAACAACTTCTCCACCACCCAGTTGCCCTCTCATTCCCACTCTGCATCAGTCAACAGTCCTTGCTAGTTCTACATCCAAATCTCTAATCAAATCCATGCCCCCACTTAGACGTACGCTGCTTTAATTCGGGCTCCTATCATCTCCTCAGACAAGCTATTCTAATCATTTGCAATCAAAAACTCCTGATTTCTTCCTGACCAAGCTCAAATGCCACCTCCTCTGTGAAGACCCCCCCGCCACCAGATCTCCAAGGATGATTCAATCACACGCCAGGAGCTCTCGGTACACAAGACTCTCACAACACAGAGCACCCTCTCCTGCAGAGCCGTGAGGAAGAGCACGCAAGCCCCATGCAGAACTGTGAGTGTTCCAGGAACCTTGTTTAAAAGGTAAAAAGAAGTTGGTGAATTTTTTAATGTTTATTTATTGATGTTCAATTACAGTTGTATTTTCTCCCCACCCCTCCCCCACCCCCTCCAGACCCATCTCCCTCCCTTTCTTCTACCCAAAAAATTGGTGAATTTTAATAATACAATTTATTTAATCAGGTATACCCAAAATATTATCATTTCAACATGTAATTAATATAAAAATGTAACAAGATATTCTACAGTTCTTCACACTTATCCTTTGAAATGCAATGTACATTTCACATTTGCAGCATATTTTAAATTTAGACAGTAAGTTGTCGTCAAAAATAATTTATCTGTATTTAGATGTCATAAAATTTACAGCTGAAAAAGTGAAGATGCACATACCCAAGTTCTCCAAATGTACTTGAAAGTTTTATAACTGCATTAATATCAACTTATTTTAAATTAAAATAAAATCAGCATTTAAAAATCAGTTCCTCTGTCACGTGCCTCATTTTGATTGCTCAGTAGCCACATGCAGCCGGTGGCTATGCTATTGGACAGCGCAAGTCTGCTGCAGTTATTTGTTGCTATGCTATTGGACAGCGCAGGTCTGCTGTAGGTATTTGTGGCTATGCTATTGGACAGCGCAGGTCTGCTGTAGGTATTTGTGGCTATGCTATTGGACAGCGCAGGTCTGCTGCAGTTATTTTTGGCTATGCGATTGGATGACGCAGGTCTGCTGCAGTTATTTGTGTATATTCATCTCTCTTCCCCGTGACATCAGACCATGTCTAACTCACTTCTATCCTCCGCTTTGTCTTGGCACATACAGGGTGTTTGATGGAAGTCTGTTGACTAGGTAAAGAAAAATAGATGTAGAAACCATTTGACTCCATTGTAACATTAAGTCAAAAGCATTCTTTTGTAAGGAATATAAATGGCCATTTTTATAAATACATATATACACACATACATGAGCACAGGACTATATGCAAACACATTAAGACTAAGTATATTTGATTTGCTACTGATTCCTTCAGTAACAAAAATTACTGTGTACATACGATTCCCCCTCACCTGTGCCTTCCTCCATCTATTCTCCTTTTCTTAATGCATTTATGAGACCTCTACACAATTAGCACTTCATAATATGTTTTTACATTCTCTAATTGTTTCCCCATGTCTCGCCTTTTCAAATTATATTTTAAGCTTCTGCAGATAGAGATCATTACTTGTGCTTCATAACTATCATCGCAATGGTAATAGCAAAGTACAAGAATTTCATATGTGACATATAATCAATTCTCAGAGGCCTTTTTCAGTGAAACCTTTCCCAATCAATCCTAGAAGGCCAGCCTCTCAGCATTCAGATTCGTCCCAACATGTCTGGATAGCTGGGGCCAGCGACCTCCCCATGTAATCGACTCTTCTCTATGTGCTACAACGTGTTCTGCGTGTGACACTGACCTTCACCCCCAAAAAGGAGGACGGGTGTTTCCGATCTTTGTTTCAATACCCCGAGTTACCCAGATGCAGTGATCTCATCAAAACAGACCTTCGGCAGGTATTGCTTCCTGTCCCCACCTGCCACTGCCATCAGCCCCTGCTGGCCACGGGCTGTGGCGTCAACACGACAGAGGGGTGCTCCATGAGGGTACAGACCTCTGTGGCCTTACAGAGAAATAACTCCGATAAATCAGTGCACACATAAGTTCCCACAAAGGGGATTACAGTAGATCTATCTTTTATTCTATCGTTGCTTGAATAAGAACAAAATAGAAAACAGGAAGACGTCTTGGTGCATCAGTCACAGGGTTCCTCCAAGTCGGTGTCGGTGTTCTCTCGCTTCCGCACGGATAGTTCTTTGATGGCATCTATCTCTGCAGGAGTGAACTTGGGGGTGAGCAGCACAGCGTCGTAGTCAAATTCGTCATCAAGACGGAAGGGCTGAACTTCATCCCCGAGTATCTGCAAGAGGTAACAAAGGAGGGAAGTCATTCGCCACCATTGTACGTGAAGATGAAGTTTCACCACCATTATACATGAAGGTAAAGTTGAAAACATAAATTCCCTATTCGTATTTCATTAAACTTTTTTTAGACTTTAGCTCTCTCAGCTGATTAAGCTCTTTTTAAGTAAAGGAATAAAACCAATTATTTGATTGGACCTAATTTAAGTGCCTTAACGTTTCCCATTGGCACCATCTGACTCTAAATGAATGTCATTAACTAACTCTGCCCATGGCAAGAATCAGAAAGACTCTCTTGCACACATTTGTAACATTTTTACCACTTGCAGTGTTAGGGTTGGAGGCACATGGAAAAACTAACAGTCACATTAAGGTGTGAAAAACATATCTTAAGATTTTGATCAACCTTGAATATACTTTTACCATTTACTATAAAAGACATATCAATAAAACAATTTTCAAAGTTAAAAATACTCTACACTTAATACATTGCTCCTTCAGATAATACCTATAATTCCTAGGGCCAATAACAGTAGGAATTAAAACATATAATATCACCTTAAAAAGTCTAGGATCCCTTTGTACTACCAAGAATATGTGAAATATTACAGAATTTATCTATAAGTCATAGTAACTGCAAAGAGATGTAATAATCTTGTATCTATTCATAATCTGTGTTTTAAAGACTTCCTAAAAGAACATAGATTTTTAAAAGCATGTTTTTCCAATAAACAAAAAGAGAATGCTTTAAGTCCCATTGCATCATTCCTGAAAAAGCCTCTCAAAAAGCACATGGTGTATGATACGATGAAATCATCCAGGACCTCTGCAGAGCTCTATAATATGAATGGTGATGTTGAAATAATTGAAAACTATGGTTTATGCAAGAATGAAAAAAATGCCCTGAAGCCATAATCAGCTTTAAACATTCTTGCCTGCAAAATGATCCCACTGAGTGGTTTTTGCAATGTTCTTGAAAATGAAGCATATAGCTCAGAAACTGTGCTGTTACTAAAGGTAGGGAAAAAAATACAACCATAGAAAGCAGGTCTCTCCTGTCTGTTCAGCAAGTTGAATCTCATAGTTAGGTGCACAGTGTTCATAGCAAACACCCAGTCACCTTCCATCCTCTCTTGGTAAAACCAGCAACAGAGCAGATTTCAGAGACTCATGAGGGCCCTGTTCATTACAATAGAAAGTGCGTGCTTTCCTGGCAAAGGTAACAACAGGCGCTGTCACTGAACGGGCTCCCACCCAGGCCCAGCCCCAGCACCAGGAACCATGTGGGCATTCACAGCAATCCTCAAACTACCCAACTCACAATGGAAAGGTTAAGTGCCTTGCCCAAGACTACACAATTAGTAAGGAAGGGAAGCAAGATCTGAATCCAAGCTAATCTGCTTCAGATAAAGCTTCATCTTCTCACAAAAACACCAGCAAAAATCAGCCTGGAAGAGTTCACTACGACAAGTCATAGCTGTTTGGGAGAAAAGACCTTTTCTGCATAAGCTCAATAAACCCCATAGCACATCGTTGAAAAAGTACTCGAGGCTCCACACGATACCATGACTGTCTGCATGAAAGAGCAGCTGTACACAGGAAGCAAGTCGCCACAGAGTAACAATGGGGCGAAGTTGCTGAGAGCAGCTCCAATGAAGAAATACACAGTCAATCAAGGACACAGCATGTTCATTTCCCGAACATACGCGTCCCAACAGTCTCCAACTCAGCTCAGCGATATGCACTGAGGCGGGCAAGCCTGGCCCCATCCTAAGGGACCCCGTCGGGGACAGGGGAAGTCCCACCTTTACCAGTGCCATCAGTCTAGTGGGATTCTCGCTGCCCTTTTACCCCTGGTAAAAGGACTGGCACCTGCATGTCTGCCGAGTTGCCGGCTTCCCATACTCGCGTGCGCCCGCTGCAAGGACTTCGAAGTCCGCCCTAACACATCTAAAACCTGCCCAGACTTCTCCCAGCCACTCCCGCTAGATGAAGACTCATTGTTTCCTGGAAGAGGTGATCTCTAAGCAGAATCTTAAATGGTAACGTTAATGAACAAGGTTGAGGGAAGAAGGGACTTGCAGACAAGGGGAGTTCTCGTGAGCAGGCCAAAGGAAACGGGAGGCTGCGTTCCACCCTGTTGCGCGTGGGTCACCGGCTAGCAGTGACCACGGCACACTGTGGATGGCTCGACAATACGCGAGAAAAAACACACATGCACAGAGACAAACCAGTTTCTGTGGGGAAGTAGGGACAGAATGGCCACCCCCCTAGTGGGGAGCGCGCCCGATTACCGTCCATACCTGCTTTTATTAGGCTCATTTTGCATAATAATTCAGGTAAAATACAATACTCATTAGGGGAAGTAAGGAATATATAAAACAAAGAACTCTGCCGGTCTATTGAGTTGGGGGTCAAAGAGCTGTAAGGCTGAGGAACAAACTAGCTTCCTCCTAAGACCCTCCTCATTCAACTGAGAGCATTCTTGAACAAAGAAGGTTTCACAGTAATTTACATGTTCTTTCTTAGGCCTGATCACCCCGGGAAATCCGCACTTCCCAGTACCGGGCTGTACTTCCCCGTCATTGTTTCAGGCTTAGGTGGAGCGCGGGAACTAAAGCCACCGAGAGATAAGGAGATTTTCTTCCGGACGCTGAGAACTCAGACTTTGTCAAAGCCGAGGAGTGAGGGTCCATCACCCCCTTTTGCTGCAGCCCCCCAAGTCCTTCTTTTGGGGGGGGGGCCTCCCAAAAATGATCGTGCCTGGCTTGGGTTGTTCCCCCGTGGGGAATCTTACCCGTCTTTGGCTAACCGACCAAGCTTTTTGGGGGTTCAGTTATGAACAAAGCAGCAGAAACAGCATTCCTGCCAGGAAGATAAGCTTTTGTCTCCTTGCCGGCTCACGGTTCCAAGGGCGTTCCCTTAGCCTAGCCTAGGCGGGGGTTTCAGTTTTCTGATACCAGTCAGGGCGGTTCCCAACACCACCCGTGTGGCTCTGAGCGGTGCCGCGCCGCCAGGGCATCGAGGGTAAGGTGCGGTGCCGTGCTGCCAGGGCGTCGAGGGTAAGGCGTGGTGCAGCAGAGAGGAATGGAGACGGCGCCGGGTGGGGACAGGTCTCACACGCTGCTTGTCCCGGAGATGGTGAATGTCACTGAAAGATACTTTGAAAGCAGGGTAGGTGCTTGGTCACCTTACGCATTTCAGATAAATTTCTTCATTCAAATTCTAACGGAGCACCTCCAATGAGACAGGTGCTAGAGAGACAGACCTGTACAAAAGAGAGAGATGCCCTGCCCTCTTGGAGATTACACCTAGACGGGACACTCTGAAGACGAACCAGAGGACAGCTCTGGAGACAGGATACTAGTCAGGAGCAAGCTGAAGCAGTCCAGGCAAGACGTAGTGAGAACAAGGCTCTGTTAGAAGAGATTCGAAAATGTGAGAGAGTGAAACTGGTAGCACCTGATGACTGATTTGGATGGGGCAGGGATGGTCTGGAGGTTCCTAACAGGATCCACACAGAAGTATCTCAGACACACAAACCTGCAGCTCTGACGAAAGCCCGAAGCTAGAGAGACAGACGGGAGGACAGGAGCATTACAGGTCGTCCTGTGGATGAAAATGGATCCCGGCGGGTCGGGGGCAAGAGCCCGAGGCTCGGCAGGCATCCCTGAGGGGCAGCTCCCCCGGGATGGGTGGAGGAAGAGGCAGGGAAGAACAGTCAGAAACACACCAAGAGGCTGGGGAGCGCAGTGAAGGGAGACCACCCGTGGTTGGAGCCAAGGACATTTCTCAGTATACTGAATGGGAATGAGGGAAGAAACAAGCAGATTAGTAGAATCGAGTCTAATGGTTTCCTAAGTCTCCATGAAAAGAGAGGCAAAAGAATAGACAGTAGCCAAAGAAGGATCCAAAGTAAAGGGAAGGTGGTGGTTGTTTTGTTTTGTTTTGTTTTGTTTTAAGCATCAGAGAGACTTGGACATGTTCAGATGTTGAGCAAAATGAACCGACAGAGAAGAAAAGAACGGCCCTGCCCTAACCATTTGATTATCCCAGGAAACCGCTCCCTGTAGGTGGTGAGGCTTCTTGTTTCTTTATTTGTTCCTTCAACGTTCACCGCACGTCCACTGCACCCACAGCGCTGACCTCGGCACTAGTTCCGACGTCTTGCTATTTAATTAAGTTAGCTTATGACGACACGCGTGAATGAGTGAGTGTAGAGACTCACTGACGGGGAACTTACATAATTCAGATGAAACCAGACACACACTGCAGCTCAGAAGATGCCACTGGGACCCTAGAAAGACCGGTTTTAAAATGCAGTAATGTAGCGATTCCACTTAACATATTTCAGCTGCTGGCTAGGGTGGCACACTCGGCGAATTCCCTTCTTTGAAGGTAGGTTCACTTCAGGGTCCTTAGCTGAAAGACTCCGGGGTTTTTAGATGACAAACTCAAACTCTCATTGACTTCAAAGGGAAGCATTTGTGAACAGGAGCGCCAGATCCCCCACCGTTAAACAGAAACAACTGCGAATTAAGCTATTAACTTGTTATTTTTGCCTAAGGAGCTGAGAGAAATATGTGGGTTTCAGGTGTCTAATTTCAAATCTAATTGAAACCTTTCTGTAGCCTCTCGGAGAGTAGAATGTGTGCAATGGGAGAAAACTGCTAGTTTCCTTAAAATTGCTCATGTGACTTTTCTGAGAGAGACCGCTACAAGAGGAGTCGTTTTCATTCACAGCACCACACAGGCCAATTAAAGAAAACGGAACTAATGCTCAAATCAATGACAGCAGCATTTAGCCATAGGCTCTCTTACAGAGCAATATGGTAAATAAACTGTCTATATAGGTGAAAAATTTTAAAGTCCCAAATGACTTGGAAAAACAGAACCCTCACTGACATACAATTTCCTCTGATGTCTTCCATGGGTTGAGGGTGGGGAGGAGGAGCCACCGTTTTTCAATCTTCCTAATGTGAATTCTTTTCATCAGAATAGACAAACTACCCTGGTCGGCGTGGCTGTGTTTGGAGAATCGTCCTGTGCACCAAAATGTTGTCGGTTCAGTCCCTGGTGAGGGCATGTACAGGAGGCAATCAATCAATGTTTCTCTCTCACATCGATGTTTCTTCCCCTCTCCCTCTCTCCCTCTCTCCCTCCCTCCCTCCCTCCCTCCCTCCCTCCCTCCCTCTCTCCCTCTCTCCCTCTCTCTCTCTCTCTCTCTCTCTCTCTCTCTCTCTCTCTCTCTCTCCCCCTCTCCCTCTCTCCCTCCCTCCCCCCTCTCTCCCCTCCTCTCTCCCTTAAAATCAGTGAGTATATCCTCAGGTGAGAATGAAAGCAAAAATTTTTTTTAAATAGGTTAACTAAGGGAAGCAGTTATTCACAAATAGAAAGTGGAAGGTTCTTGGAAAATGCACATGTATATAACCAATGATAAAATTACAAAAAAAATTTTTAATTCTCCCAGTGCATATCAGGAAGTCATGGATTCATTTTTCTTTTTATCCTCACCTGAGGGCATGCTCACTGATTTTAGAAAGAGTGGAAGGAAGGAACAGAGAAAGGGAGAGAAACATCAACGTGGGAGAGAAGCATCAATAGGCTGCCTCTCACAGATGCCTTGGTCAGGGACCAAACACGAAACCTAGGCATGTGCCCTGATCTGGAAGCAAACCTGTGACCCTTCAGTTTACAGGACAATGCCCCAACCAACTGAGCCACACTGACTAGGGCAAGGCATGGGTCCTTATTAGGCAATACAGGAAATCAGAATATCCAAGACACATTTTCATCTTTGGAGACTGAAGTCACAGAAAACGACTATCTGTAACTCTAACCCTTGGTCAGCCCTTCCAGGACATATTTTCTGAAAATTGATGCTGATATCCTTTCTCTGACATTAGGTGCTTTAAAATAAGATTAATACCAGTAAGCCACAGCAGATTTGGCACAGTGCTGTGATTCTCGACAGTTCTGAAAAGTCTGTCTAACAGTGGTTAGAAATAAAATTCCAAACCAAGATATTACTCTGGATATTCAAAAAACAGCAAAAGTTGAACTGGCTGGTGTGGCTTAGTGGACTGAGTGACAGCCTGCAAACCAAAGAGTTGCCAGTTCAATTCCCAGTCAGGGTATATGGCTGGGGTGCGGACCAGGTCCCCAGTAGGGGGCACATGGGAGGGAACTGCACACTGATGTTTCTCTCCCTCTCTTTCTTCCTCCCTTCCTGTCTCTAAAAATAAATAAATAAAATTAAAAAAACAGTAAAAATTATTCATCTATGTCTCATGAGTTTGCTAACACACAAAAAAAGTTTCTATCATTTTGATTCCAATATTTTAAAATGTTCACATTTTCTGGGAAGAAATTCATATTCCTTTTGAAGATACAATCATATACAGGGTTTTAAACTTCATGTTACTGGCTATTTGATAGGTTCCAGAAATCATTCAGGCGTTTTTTTAACCCATCGAGTAAAACCACTTCATAAAAATGTTCTATAATGGCATGAGGTACCACAACCACTAATTGGTCAAATAATTTGTATGGTCACAATGGAAGTCAAGAACAGAAGTTTTTGAAAGAAACTGATTCCTGCTAGAAATAACCTCACAACTGTACTTTCTTACTACTCAGAAAAGCATTCCACAATTCAAAAAGCACACTGAAAAGTGGCTATCCCTGCCAGTTTATCCGGTTACCGGTTTGGGGGTTTAACATATGCCTACAAGCATCCTGGACATATATTTGTGGAATCAGTGAGCAAAGTCTTATGATAAAGGGGTAATTTAAGATTGAAGAGTGTGCACTGCTTTTGACCGAACAACTGCTTCCACAACAAGTGATGCGTACAGACTAGTTACTGAGTCCTGAAATAGTCGAGAAACTTACTAAGGGCTTTATTAGGAAGCAACAATAACAAGTCCGAACACCCTCTGTGCCTGCAGGACCCCCTCAGGGTACACAGGGTGCAAAGGTCACATCCAGCACCACCAGCAGCCACAGCTGGTGCTCATTTGTCAAGTATATGCAGAAGAGTTGGAAATGGTGGCAAAAGACGACTCCCAAGTTGTGCATTTCAGAGAGAAAACATGTCGCAGAGGTTCCGTTCTACCTGCTGGTGAAGCCAATGGCTGGATGACATTTCCCAGGCTCCCTTGTGCACGTAACTGAGGGGCTGCCAATAGAATGTGAGCACAACTAGAGTTCTGAGTCCTGAGCCCTGGGGAAACGGGCTGCCCCATGCTCTCATCCCTTGCCCCTCCAGGGAGGACGGTGCCCAGACCTGCAACATGCACCTGAGGATGATGCCCTAGGCAGAGTGGAGACCCAGAGAAGGAACCTTGACAAGCCCTGAGCCACTGGCTAACGTTAAAGACCCTCCGTAGGCTGTAGCACGAAATAAATGAACTTCTGTCTCCTCCAGCCACTGAATTACTGTAGCAGCCTGGCCTTCCTTTAACTACTGCAAGATGTTTATAGGACCTTAGAAGCAATAACAGAGAGGGAAATGGCTGGTTCGGACAAAACGAGATAAGAAACCCGCCTGTCCTTTCTGGCACGCTGTCCCCAGGTAGCACTGGCCTGCAGCGTGGCATGCATCACGAAACAAAAATAGTTTCCACGTACAAACATAATTGCTCTCTGTGTTTAAGAAGAAATATACTCATTAGAGACAGACGACAGTGTGAGGACCCAATTAAGCAACTTGAATTCTAAATTCTTCCAAATCTGAGAAAAACACAAAAGCACACAGGTCTAGCAGCATTTCTATGCAAGAACAAGTTACACAGCCAGGCGGCTTCGAGACGGACTGCATTCCCCATGGAGTACCTCGTCCCTGTGCTTGTCCTGCTCATCCATTCCTTTCACCGTGGGCCTTGGCTTGACTCCAGGGGTCAGGGGCTGGGCCACGGAGGGAACATACGAAGGGACACGGGTGCTTACGTCCTGTTCCACTTCTCCGGGCAGCAGCAGCAAACCTGTTGGACACAAAACATTTCACTTGATCCTTGCACTGAGTTCATATTTGAACTAAATCATCTTAAAGCCTATCACAGTCAAAAGAATAAAGCAAATATGCTCAAATAGAGTAAGTCCATCCCACAATACCTGTCTTCCTCGGGGAACTTGACTCAGGGGATTCCCCTTTCTAGAAATCAGAAGTCCTTAGTGCATCTATTTTTATCTCACTGTTGCAAAGTTACTTTCTATCTGAAAGGTCTAGGAGAAATATTGTTTGGGAGTAACTTGTTCATGCCTCTCACCTCCCAACCCGATTTCTACCTCTACAGGAAAATGAAGCAAGGAGATGCTATTTTTTCCTCATTTTCCTGGGGGGTGAAGACAAAGGAAACGGAGTGTTGATTTTATCCCATAATGATATGGCAATATTTCAAAAAAAACATATTAAAAAACAATGATGCCTAAAGGAAAGAACTTTAACTTTCAGCAGAAAAACGAGCTGCTCTGTCACATTCAGAATGCATGGTCTAATTTTCAACACCTGCAGACAACAGAAGTGTGTCGTGCTTCCGGCTCATTGGGCACAATCACAGGAGTTCAATAGCCAGTCTTGGCTCTCTGATCAACCGACCCACTAAAAGGGGACGTGCTCCCTTGTTTTTGCATGTGGGCCAGTCCGTGGAAGCGCCACAGACATCCGGTGCTCTTCCGCAGCTTTCTTTGAGGAGGACAGAAAACAAGCAGAAGCACAACAGGTTTCCCCCTTAGCCTAAGTTTCCACAGGACCAGAAGGGCTGCTGCAGCTAGCCAGTAACGTGCAGCTGGCTCAGGACGATGCTGCCTGCTACTCAGCGATGACCCTCATGAAGATGCTATGCTCTTGGAGGAAGTGATTAATCACCAAGAGGCATGCCTTGGCTGTTGCCAGTGGCAGCATATGTAGGGAGATGACAGAACACGATTCAATATTCAAAAACTGAAACTTATTTGCAATATATCTCTCACCACCACTGTGATATCACCTTCACAAAAAAAAATAAAATAATTAAAAATCCCTAAGACTCCAGCAACAGAGAATACAGAGAGAGAGCCTAGAAGCTGAGTGTATGTGTGTGTGTGTGGGGGGGGGGTGAAGAAGGTAGTTTACTATAATTAATTATTGAAACCATAAAACAAGACCTAATTAACTAGCAGACATAAAAACAATAATAATAGTCAACTCTTATGAGCGGACGCATTATCTGCATTATTAACTCAGCTAATCCAGCAGCTCTCTTATTTCCCGCCTTACAAGCAAGCAGCTATAGCACTGAGAGTGACCTCCTTCAAGGCGCCACAGTGAGAAAGAACCAGAACCAGGCAGTCTGTCTGCAAAGCCCATGATGTCACGTTACAAACTTCTTTTAAATAAGTGTTTTCGTTCAAAATATTATTTAAACCTGTCGGATTATACATCCAAACTCAGGGCCAAGAAATGTCACTACGATAGCACATTAACATGGTTAGGCAGTGTTAAGGGCACTTAAACATATTATTCTCAGAGAAAATATTTTTAAACTCAGTTAAGATTGGTGGAAAGACTGGCTTTCTAATATACCTATTTACAAGTTCAAAGCCACACTGGGTGTAACTGCCCAGGACTGGTACAAGCCTGGTGAGGGGCCTGCCAACAACAAAGGCAAAAGGAGAAAGGTCCAGGCATCTCAATGTAAAAGCCGACACCTACCAGACCCGCTGATTGCCGGTACAAGCATGAGTTCACGTGTAAGATAAAAATCAATTCCTCCTTCAGAGCTACTTAAGATCTGATTGACGATATGACGCACCAAGGAGGACAACTCTGCAATTCCTTTGCTAAACCTCCTCACCTCTCTAATATTCTGCAAAGAATGTTTTCTTTCATAAAAATTCTAATGCCATGGGAACAATTCCTTCAGATTCAGAATCCTCCGCACTTTCCTTGCCGTTGGTTTCTTCAGTGTAAAAGCAAAAGGCCCAAACGCACGCGATCGGTGCCTAACGCAGCATCTTATACACAGGATATTCTCAACAAACACTTACAGACAGGAAACGAATTCCCTGCAGCTCCACTATTAAACTGAACAGCAAGTATCAAGAGTCTACCTTCCCCTCAAAAACTAAACCTTGTTACAGGGATAAGATTTCCACACAAAAATATCAATCAGAGCATAATCGGAACAAAATTGAACAGCCTTAACTCGAAAGAGGACAGATTCACAAGGAGAGTAAAACCAACACAGAGGAGAACAGCCTAGTAAGACAGTTCAGAAGAAAACCACCGCATCTTCCAGCCATTTTACACCCGCGGGTGGGTTACTGACACACACGCCCATTCTCTCAGGAGGGGGAATGATGGCGTTCATTAACGGTGGGGAATGGAATTTCTGAAGTCTCTAAAACTTTCTAAAACTGAAGAGCTTTAAGAATCTTATTCGTATCTTAGCCATTGTTTCTGAAACTACCAAGGGCCTGTTTTCCTCTCACCTAAATGCCACTATTTTGGCCGATGTGCATTGTGGAGTCAAGGCAACTCTCCAAAAATAAGTCTGAATGTTGAACAGCAAGACTGCCCGAAAACATTTCAATCTCTTCTTTCTCAACCACATGGTAAGAATCTGCAATATTTATAAACGATGTGTTCATGCCATTTGTCTTTCTGTATTTAGTTAATAAACAGCAAGCCAAAAGCTATAATCACAATCTCCTACAGCATTAAAAAGTAAGCAATACAAATAAAAGAATACTGAGGCACAGTGAAATTACTAAAAATACAAAAACAAAAATAGCAGTCAAATGAGAGACAAATACACACCCTGTCTGCAAAGGAACAACAATCAGATTGCCAGTTTTCAACAATGAAGACCAGAAAAGAGTAGGGCAACATCTTTAAAATGCTGAAAGAAAAAAAGAAAGAAATTACAAACCTATCATTCTCTACCCAGCAAAAATACAGGGCTGTGACATAATAACACAAAACAGGCAAGAAAAAAAAGAACATACAACTGGCAGGACAAGCAGAAACGAAACAGTAAGAGGACAGTTTTAAAACCAAATGTATCAGCAACGACATTACATGTAAATGGACTAAACACTCCAATTAAAAGACACAGTTTTAGAAAATGTATGTGTGTGTATGTGTGCAGAGGTATGTGTATAAATGATAGGCAGTGTTCAAGAGACACATAAACATAAACCTACTTTGGGAAAAAAACACAAAACAATAAATGCAAGTGGAAGAACAGAATAAGAAAAGAACTGCTACCCGAGGAGAAGGTGGCGAAGATGAGGGAAGACTCACTTCAAGGATGAGGCTGGCATTTGACAGTGATAATAAATCATATGCCCACCCCTCTGAGCACAAAAATAGAAAATAAATAAACCAGGAGTCAGAAAGATGAGGAGCAAAATATGAACTTCGTAACAGATGGAGCTGAACCTAAAAATGGAGCTTTTCCCGCAGTCATCATTGGGCTTCTTATTTGCCAAGCTTCCCCCCAAGTCTAGACCTCGAGCTGTCCCTGCTTAGGGAAATTCTGCAGAGCTAACATACGTGCAACCGTGCACAAGGCGAACTACTTCACGTCCGCAGAGCTCTTAGAGCAGGGGCTCAAGAGCAGCACCTCCAGACTTCTGTCTAGAGATGGTTCTCAGCCTCGACTGCACGTTAAAATCCTCCAGGGAGCCACAAAAATGGACGATGCACAAGGCACAGCCCAAACCACTGAAAAGGAATCTCCAGGTATTGGTATCTTTTTTAAAGTTCCTCAAGTGGTTCTAACTGGTCTTGAAGGTTAAAACCTAGTGCATAAGACAGGCCTGGGCCCTGCCTGAAGTGTGTCTGTTGTGAGAAAGGGGGCACAGATACGCAAGAGAGAGCCTCTGCCTTCCAAACAGCACGAACCCAAAAGAGGAGACGAAAGGGCTGATGCACATACACATCCATTCCTGGGCCAACCCCTCCAATTAGACAAAGACTTCCTCTTCCCTTGGGAAACAAGAGACATAGGCACCGTGTAAGGGCAGAATTATTTCCCAGTTCTGTTATCTTCTCAGGAATAAAGTGAAGGCTTCCTCGTGGAACCGCAGGGCCTGGGCAGCAGGTTTGCTCTTGCAGGTGACGTGGTTTTCGAGCTGGACCTTAATGGACACGTTTGCACATTTAAAAAATGGAGGAACGTGGGATAGGGGGACATTTGGAAGCAAGGAATTTTCCCTCCTAGTGTTTTTAGTGATCTTCAAGGCGATGAAAGAATGACTTTAATAGTACCAAGTGTAAAAGAAAGGAAATGCCTAAACTGCTAAGTTGGCTGAACTGTGCCATCTCCTAGCTCAGGCCCTTTGCACACGCTGTTCCTTGTGCTGCTCCTTCCTCTCCCGCCCTCCCCTCAGCCTCACTCCACCCACCTCAGCTAGTTAAAGTGCTCACCCTTTAGATCACAAGCTCTCAGGGTGTTTTAAGTTCCCCTGCCAGATGTATGTTCTCATGAGATCTAGAACAATTTGTAATGCATTTGTCATTATCTGGTGAGCGGATGGTTCTCCCAACAAACTACGAATCTCATGACAACAGGCACCAGATCTGTTTTATTCTTTCTCATATTCCAGGAACCGATCACAGTTGCTAAATATTTGTGGAATCAGAGTCCCAGGTCAGTGATAAGCTGCACAAAGCTGCTTCAAGTTACAGATAAGGAAAGAATTTTTTTAAAAAGAGAGATGACTGATGCCTTTATTGAAACTGGGCATACCAGAGCTGGAAAATGAAAATCAAATAAGACTGCCAATCTTTGAGCAGGAATTAGTTGCCCATTCTTGTCCAACACCATCAACCACAGAATAAGTACACTAACTGGCTGAGAGAGCAGTAAAGACAGTATACAAGGGGGGACCCCAAGAAAACAGAATTATCTTCTGGAGGGCAGGCCCCTTGCAGTACAGGCTTCGCTGCTAGGTGAGTGTTCTAGGAAACCATCTGGATCAGTGTTCCAGCTGGTGTTGTTGTGAGAGACTGCATTTGGTTTCATTGAACTTTTTGGGAAGACTCTTTCAACATGTTTGACCATTTCATATGGTGATTTACGAATGTACCTGCCCACACCATGCTGAGTGTTCTGTAGTTTTTGACCAAAAATAGCATGGCTGCTGTACCCCCCCATCCCTCTTCACCCGATCTTATCCCAAGCAACATTTTTTGTTGTTTTCTTGGATGAAAAAAGTCATCAAAGGGAAATGTTTTGCCAGTGTGGAAGAGGTGAAACAAAAAAAGGCAGAAGCACTAAAAGGCATCAAAATCAACAAGTTCAAAAACTGTTTTGAACACTGGAAAAAACACCTCGATAGGTATATTGCAACAAGTGGAGAGTACTCTGAAGGTGACTGAAATTTAAACATGTAAGAGTAAATATACAATTTTTTATCAATAACTTCTGGGTTTTTCTGGGCCCCCACTCATAATGCTCAGAACTAGACCCCAAAAAGTCTCTTCAGCCAACGGCTCTCAGCCAGAGAGCAGGGTGGGCCAACTGAGGGGAAAATAAATAAATAAAGACAAACAAAAGGGCCTTCCTACTCTAACGGCCTCAGCGTAACTGATCCCTACTCCAAATAACAATATTGCTGGATAACAGCCAGGGTAGGGTGGTAATTACCCTGATGGTTAATTCCCTTCTTTCAGATTCAAAGGAGGAAAAAGTGGTTAACCTGATGTGAAACAAACACTGGGCCCCAAACTTTGTGGCAACCACGACTGACTGCTCGACTGACTGCTCGACTGCACCGCCCTGAGCAGGATTCTCTGAGAAACTGGGTCCACCTGCGCTGCCAAATGACAAGCCAAAGACGGGGAAGGAGTCGTGTGCCCGGGTCTTGAAGAATGTTTATGAAAGCAAACGAGGTGAGCAAACGAGGTCAGTGGTAGAAAAAACAATGCGCACCTCACTTCCTTAGGCAAATCTGTCACTTAAACAGTAACAACAGGATCTAATCAGTAAACCTCTCAGGCTGCCAAAATTATGCAAGCAACTTGCCTATTCAAAATGTCACATTTCCCATCTGACATAAATATTTGCCTTCCGCTCACATTCCTGGAGTATAATAAAAAATTGGGCCCAAACTAAAATTCACCTTGGCACCAACCACTTCTGACCCAGACTGTGCACTGTGAAAACTGTGAAGCCCTGGCGGTCTTTTGGGGGACTGAGATACATCAGTGAGGCCAGGCTGCTTTTCAGCCTCGGCTTTTCACATGACGTTACCTACGGGAAGGCCGTGACCAGTTCACTCCCGCCCACTGAGACCTGGCTCAGGCCTCCACAGCCTGTTGTGCGTGAATGCAAGACTGCCTGTGACCTGATTTCTGGGGGAGAAGTACTAGTGAGAGGTTTTTATGAAAATTGTAAACCAAAGGAATAGATCTGATTAAAAACAAACTTGTAAATGTGTTTAAGGAAGAACAATGGAAAAAGGTAAAAGGTCTAACTTAAGAGATGGCTATAATGAAAATCACATTCATGGGCTAAGTAGGTTTATGTCAGAATGTAGACCTCATCACTGGCAGGAAGCAAGAAGTTAAAACCACAGGGAAAAATGCCCGACCCGTGTAATGTTGTGCCCTCCTATAAAATTAATCTTATGTTGCAATTGTACTACATGCAAACCAGAGCTATTGGTCTCCAGTGTCATCCACGGATGACCTCTGCCTGGGGTAGTGACTGACTCAAAGCACGGATCGCTAGATGCCACCAGAGGGCTTCTCCCTTGGGCACAGGACCCAGGAATGTTCATTTTTCACGAGCTCCCCTTCTCCGAGTCAGCCAAACCCCGAAAACCAAGTGCTTGCTCTATGCACTTGGCTCTTGGTAAGTCCTCAGCGATCCTTTCTAATCCGATCAGAGCCCATAAACTGCTCTCACACAGAAATTCAGAGCAACCTAGGGGATTACAGTTAAGAGAACCTCCCCTGGGGCCACGTGATGCCTATGGATCTCTGATCTCACTTGAACCAAGCAAGTAAGGGAAAAAATCTCCCAAGTCTGCTGGTTAATAGAGTGCTTGATAATCAAACCCTTCAATAGAATAGTGTGGTGTTTGGAAGCAGAATACAGATGTCAGTTGCTTCCAGCCGCCAGAAGGCCTCGGTTTGGCCAACCAGAGAAGCTGGGGCAGGGGTTTGAACGTCTAATTTACCGAGAGCCACCCCCCAGACAAACAGCCCCTCTGACTCCTGTGTGATGATAAACCAGCCCCCACACAGTAACAACGACATGATCCGGGTTTATGCCTACCTAAACACGGTAAGCAACACTTAGATGCCAACCACCAAACCCCCGTGGAAGCCGCCCCTTCCCTAACAGTCAACGTTGACTTTGAAATACTCTTGCTTATTAAATTAGGAATAAGAGTTTTTGAAGCAAGTAACTCTAATTTTGAACATATTTCAAAGGTTCTTTGAGCAAAAAAAAGGATGGATACCTATGCTTACACAGAAATGTTCACCAGCAAAGGAAAAAAGGCCTCATTTACATAAACATCAACAATCTAGCATTAAGCCTCTCCCAGCCCAGGCCTCATGGGAAAATGCCCCAGAAGAAATATTTACAATATACCTTTAGTCTTAAGTGTTTGGTTTACATATTTAATAAATAATTATAAAAGCAAAGATTTGAATTTTATTTTATGATCTATTTTGATACTGCTATGATTTTTATGATCAATTGATGTTTTATTTATCATTCCAAAATAATCTCAATTTACATCATCGTGCTTCTAAGAAATCGGGTTTAACTTAAATGACTTTGCTTGAAACAATTATGCAAATATCAAGCATATGATAAATCAGTGCAGGGGAGGGAGGGACATCTTTGTTTCATTTAAGACTTAAGACTCTACAACCTTCAACAGGCTTTGACCTTTCAGCTGAAATCTGTGTTCTTGAAAAAGAAATGGCAGAACTCCGGTTTTCCCTGTTTTGGGGAAGGTGGAGGTAGGATTGCCAGAAAAGAAAATGCGTAAAGCTGCCTGAAGTCTTATTTGTAGCTTCTAGAAAGAGGTCACGCAGAGTAGAAGGAGGTCAAGCAGAGTAGGAGGAGGTCACGCAGAGTAGAAAGAGGTCACGCAGAGCAGAAAGAAGAAGGCAGAAAGGCATACCCTTGCTCGTCTGGGGCTCAATCTCTTCATCCACATCCAGCTCTTCTACTGCTAGGAAGTTATCTACCTAGGAAAGGACTAATATTATTTTTATGCATATTAGACCTAAAAAATGCAATTAAGAATCAATGAATCCACTTCTACAACACTCAAGTGAGCCACTGAATTCAATTTTCTCATTAACTTCTGAGTCCTCGCCGAAGGTCTTTGCGTTCACGTCGCTTTCCCGGAGACGCTGAAAGAAGCAGTCAGTTTGGAAGTTGGCCTGCATTTTGTAGGCACCAGAGTATGATCTTTATACTGAAAAGGAAAAAAACCCATCTGGGGAGGTTTTGAAAGGGGACTTTGTTCCAGATTCCATCCCAGAATAGACAAAATCACCGAGACAGTCCCTGAAACAGTGTCTCTGCTGGCGGTTGTTGTTGTCACTGTTGTTGTTTTATTACTTTCAATGCTCAAGCAAAGAATCATGGTGGTCTGGCTACTCCCGTGACAGCATGCTTTCACTCTGAAGATCCAGAGAGAAAAAAAAACTGAAGGAAGCAGGAGAGCCCTGACCAGGGTGGCTCAGTGGGCTGAACACAGTCCTGCAAAGCAAGGAGTCACAGGCTTGATTCCATTCCCAGTCAGAGCACACGCCTGGGCTACTACAGGTTCGGTCCCCGGTCAGAGCACATAGAAGAAGCAACCAATTGATGTTTCCCTCTATTTCTCCCTCCCTTCCCCTCTCTCTAAAAATAAATAAATAAAATATTTTTTAAAAAACATAAAGACCTAGCTGGCGTAGCTCAGTGGATTGAGCGCAGGCTGCGAACCCAAGTGTCGTAGGTTCGATTCCCAGTCAGGGTACATGCCTGGGTTGCAGGCCATGACCCCCAGCAACTGCACATTGATGTTTCTCTCTCTCTCTCTATCTCCCTCCCTTCCCTCTCTAAAAATAATAAAATAAATTTTTAAATCTTTAAAAAAAAAATAAAGAAAGCGGGAGAGAAAAGTTTGTTCAAAAGAAAATCATCCTGACCCAGGTAAGTCACAAGAGAGGTGAGCAGGGCCCAAAAAATCAAGTGCTCTCTCTTTCAAACAAATAAAACTGAAAATCACTTCAAAGGTAAAAAGCAGAGCAAAAATGACCTTTACAGACACGAAAGCAACATTTCAATGAAAAACTATTCCACCTGGAATACTGCTTTCCACTGCAAGATGACAATGAGACATTTTAGATTAACAAAATGGTAACATTTCAGACAGGAATTAATTCATCTCAGGTGAATATCAAAGAGTGTAAATAAGAAAATGATTTCACCGCTGGTTCCAAGGAGACCTAGTGGAGTAAAGGCATAATGTCAAAATGCCTTTTATGCTTATGACCTAAAATATCTGCATAACAAAATACCTTAAAATTGCAAATTTAGGTCTCATAATTGGAATTCAAAAGACAGCCTGGGTCTTTCTTCTTTCAGCTCTATTTGCCAAGCCACAGCTATCACACAGGAATTAAAAAGGGTAGCTTCCAGCACTCGTAAGGACATAACTGCAGGTCCTTCCTGGCATCCACGTGATGGCAAAAATGTCCCTTCCATATGCCAGTTTCAGCACTAAAACGTGAGGGTCGGTTATACTGTCCTTTCTCTTAATGGTATATGCCGGGGACTAGATTCAGGTTTCTCGTGTTTCTCTGTCAGAGCACCCCTACATTTATTATACTTTGAGGGAAAAAGATCTGGAACCCAGCCAGTTGTGGCTAGTTTAATATACTCGAACACCCATTTTAAAAAAAAATAGTATAAGGATAAAGTAACCTGAAATTCTCCGACTTCTATGAGACAGCAAATGAGTCCTATGGGATTTTTTTGTTTTTATGGTTCTTGCCATGGGAAAAAAAAAAAAAAAACATTAAATCAGACCTTACCTTCACCTTTCCGGCCCGATTCAGATCACCTCGAAAGGCGCTGCCAGCACTCTGGCCTTCGTCCAGTACTATCTGAAACACAGAGGGAGGGCACACGGATGGGAAAATGAAACACCTGGAAAGAGGAGGCGCTGACCTTCCAGCCCTTCCGACAATAGAAGTCTCCTTCCAGTTTGCGTTAACTAGCTGTGCGGGATGAGCCAGATTCGCTAAATCATGGCAGGGGATAGGGGATAGGTGTCCAGCGGTCTGACTTGTACTTCTGTCCTCTAGACTTACCCCAAGTGTAACCTAAGTAGATTATTTAACCTCACTTTTCTCACAAGTAAAACAGAAATGTCCCACCTCATTACCCCACCTCCCAGCCTATCCCAGTGAACCTTTGGAGGGCAAATCTGAGATTGCTAATACAACTTTTTCAAAGTTTTAGAAGACAATGCAGTTGAACAATTCTTTGCCTCTGACACGCCCAGTACATAATATACATCAGTACATAATATAATTCCAACTGCCAAAGGCTGCCAGTAGACAGTGCATTCGCTGGGGATTGTCACATAACCACCTCCACATATAGCCTCTGCGACATATAAATACATTTCTGGTGCAGAGATTTGGGTTCCCTTGTATAAAACCACAATCCCAAACACAATTCTGTCCACCATATCACAAGAAAAACACAATGAAATAGAAACCAGAAACCTAAATGGCTTAAAAAATACACCTTTTTCCATGACTATATCTACTGCCTCATCTTGATTTACACGCAAAACCTGGAAAACCTACAAAAAAATGTGCTTTGTGGTTTACCAAGGAAAAATACAGAAAACAGTGCTGCTATATTTAATGAAGAAAATCAATTTTGTGTAGTTTATATTTCAACCTAAATAAAATGTGAATTTTGTTTTAAAAATAATAATAAGGCCCTGACTGGTGTGGCTGAGTGGATTGAGCACCAGCCTGTGAACCCAAAGGTCATCGGTTGGATTCCCAGTCAGGGCACATGCCTGGGTTGTGGGCCAGGTCCCCACTTGGGGGCATGTGAGAGGCAAATGATGGATCTTTCTCTTGTACAGTTTCTTTCCCTCTTTTTCTCCCTCCCTTCCCAACTCTCTAAAAATAAATAAACAAAATCTTTTAAAAAATAAAATAAAATAAAAATAATAATAAGTAGGATAACTTTCACTTAGATTCCTTGACAGTTACAAACCATAACTAAGGAGACTATGACTATAGTCTATTAAGTCTTGAGGGCCAGGGAGAGAGCATATAATATTCATTAACCAAATCCTGGAAAAAACAAGATAACCAGCTTCTACTTCAAGCTTGAAAGAGATGCATCCTCAACGGGTAAAAATACTTCCCATTTTACACAGAAAACTTAAAAAGGAGTTCTTTTACTCTAAATAGAGGACAACCAAAAAGGTATAAATTCTCAAGGAGAATCTGTGGACAGCAGATTCTTAAGAGGTTTTTAACAACAATTGAGGATAACCAAGTTACCACCATAAACACTGGCTGTTGAAATCATGAAATGTAACAACGATTTTCACTAAAGTATCCCGGTAGTACTCCAGCTAGAATTTGGAGTCTCAGTCATTGATTCGATAGCAGCCCAAGGTCCCTTAGGGTAACTTTTGTTTAAATCCCGAAAGAATGTTCTTTTCTCAGACTGTTTCTGAAAGTGTGCGACAGTATCACCTGCTCCTCCTCTGCACTCTGTGATGAAGTATGAAGAGAGACGGCTTTATTTCTGAGGCGGTGACTATTCGGTTCACTTCCATGAGAATGCTGTGTTGAAGCAGGCATGTTTTCTGAAGACTTAGTTCCGAATGTGCCCCTCTTGGTCACATCACCCTCTGCAAAGACAAGTTATATAACGTTAGGAAACAGCCACCGCATCCCCACCGCAGCCCCACCCCATGGTGTTTGCTCCAGCGCTGGGAGGGCATGGCATCCAAGCCCGCGAGATCCGCATTGTTCCAAAGAGCCTAGACTGGTGCCATCCGGTCAGAATCCCTGGTTTGCTTCTGAATGTCCGTCGCTGGTAGAACTGAAACTTGTAGGGGTGTCTAAAGGATGTTAACACCGACACGTTGTTGGGGAGCAGAGCTAAGATAACCCAGTCTACAATTATGAACTCGATAAGCCAGGAGGGCAAACACAAATACTGAATTTATCACTTTCTCTGTAAAGGGGTTATATTAGCAAACAACACAGGCTCAGGCCAGCACTCTGCAGCGCCGCCTGCACCAGCACCCATGGCCCCCAACCAGCTACTCCTGGGACAGGCGGCCCCTGCCTTTGGCCTGAACAAATCCTGTGAAACTCGAGGTGAAGAACGAGCCTTGGCTGCAGGGGGTGCTGGGAGTGCCGAGTGAGCAAGGTCACGGAGGGTTGCTCGGAATGCAGTGGCAGGCGGGTCTGGTCAGACCGCTAAAGGAGTGGGGCAGAAACCCCACGAGCCAATACCTCCCCCGACCCAGGAGGCACGGGGTTGTAAGCACTGCCCTGGCCAGCCCAGGGCTGAAACTGGAGTGGGGTTTGATAGGCTCCAAGGCCCCTGGACAACTGTAAACAAAGCCAAGGGGACTGCGAGAACTGAGTGTGTTGCCCCAGCGGCTGGTGACAGCCTGCGCAGAGCCTGCCTGAGCTGTGGGGGCCGGACGCCCCACCTCGGGCCAAGACGCATGTGCCCCTGTGCGGGGCTGGGAAACTTCTGTCCCTTCCAAAAAATGGTGGCCAGAAGACGGGCAACAACAACTTGGAAGGCTGCAAACATGGTGGACATTAGCATACAATGGCCGAAAAACTGGACACTCTGTCACGCATGGGTTTCTAGGCCAGGTCTTTAAAAACAACGCGCAGGGAAACATGCACTCTCTTCCCTCTCCTCGCTAGGGCCCCTGGAGACATGAGGTCACGGGCGGGTGGGCCCTGGAGGCCATGCATCGGGGAGCATTCCAGGCCCCCCCTCCCACACAGGCGCACACAGACTAGTGAGAGACCCCTGGAGCTGCACTGTGACCGGGAACCTGCCTAGCAGCCTGGATGAGCATGCTATCGCCACCTGCATTTCCCAAAGGACAGTACTCTTAAGTGGGAAAAGGGATTCCCGGGTGTTTCCTGAAACAGGTCTGGCCAGGCAGAGGGTGGCAGGGTTATTTGTCTTTGGGTGTGTTAAAGGGAGTGGGGCTCTGAGGCAGAAACCTGCCATTATTCCAAAAATGGATAGCCTTTAAATAAACAGCCCCTTTCCTTTCCCACCAAACTTCTGATTGCAGAGTTCTGCCTACAGGCAGCGAGCAGCAGACGCCCCAGGAGGCCATTCCGGAACAAGAACACTGCCCACTGCCGCGGTAGCCAGCAGATGAAAGGTCAGAGAAGTGAGGGGGAAACAGTCTCAGGACTGATCCTCCCTGACTCCTTCCTGTTTTACAGCGACAAAGGTGTCCTAAATCTCTCCTAGGGCAAAGATAATAAGCAGTGGTAGCAGGATGGAGCGCGATAGGCCTGAAAATGCTTGGCAACAGGAGGAGTGTCTGAGAAATGAAAGGGCTCCTCAAACCTCATCCAAGTTAGAAGCGAGACTTCCTGTGGCCACCTGCCATTCTTTGATGCTCTTTGTTAATAAGAGGTGAGATTGTTTTCACTCTCCCTGCTTATCCTTTAAGTTCTGAACAACCTAAATCCAGTGTTTGCTGAGAAAATACTATGTACCCAGCACACTACTGTAATACTCTATTGACTTAAACACTTGAAAAGCATGTAGTCAGATAGATTTTCCCTAAGGACAAGTTCTATTTGTTCTCCTATCACACAATGTACTCCTCCACCATTTCCTAGAAAATAACCAGGTTATTTAAAAGACAACCAGATGAAAGTCTTTCGAAAAAAAGAGCAAAATATAATGATGTCCCTGCTTCTGATGCTGCTGTTGAACTCCTGGTAGGGACTCAGATCTAATAAAAATTTCTGGTTCACACTTTTACACTGTCTTCCTTTTGGAAACATAAACCTCTCCTTTTAAAAAGGGGGTGCCATAGTCAAGTGCAAATTCCTAACTGGACAGATCACAGTGGGTAGTCATGCCCAGGCCTGTAACTTCTTTGGTGGAAGGTGTTTAAACCAGCCCGGCCCACTGTTCTTGTGCATCCAGGTTAGCACACCTTTGAAATGCCAGAAGTAATGTCCCTCGAAGGCATAACCACCCTCAAGAGAGCACATGACCTTAACTATCCTGTGATCCGGTCCCTGCCTTGCTTTCTCGCACCTTCCTGGCATCTGCTTTAAGTTCCCTCGATTTCAGATGCGTAAAAGAAATTGCAAACTGCTATATTCCTGTTATCCTGAGCATCTGAGATCTTGCTCCATGGCAGTTGTCATCAGTTTGGCTCAAATAAATTCTTATAAGAATTCTTTACAGGTTTGCACGTTCTTAGGCCAACAACCAGAAGGTTGGGGGGCGGGGGAAGAAACTTGTTCTCTCTGTGATTAAACCTAACATTTAAGTTTCCGTCCTAAACCTCACATCAATATAAACCATATCACTCTAAAGACCCAGAAGTGCTTCTTATAAGGCTTTTATCATTTTCATTAAAAAAACAAATACTCATTCTGTTGGCAGAATGAGGTAGGAAAGAAGTTCTTTTTCAATACGATGATGTCAAAATGAATCCGAAGGGGCCTGAAGCCCGATTAGAGGGCCAGGCGCTGCTCCCGCAAGAGTCACCTCGCGTCCTGGTCCTGGTGTGCCCCCACAAATGTTCGTCTCGCCTTCCATTTCTGCGTCCCACCAGGCCCCTTCCACTCTTTGATCTTGTCCCTCGTGTTCCTTGCCTTGAAATACATGTCAAACATAATACACTTTAAAAATCTAACAGCAATATTTCAGAGGACAAATAGATTATTAAGACCTGAAAGAGCATTACTTTGGGTATTTCTAGTCAAAACTTTGATTTAGCTAAAACAAAGGCTTTTTTCCTAAAGGTTTTTTTTAAAGGTTTCATTATTCTGAAGTAATGGAATTTCAAATTTTTTTTTTTAGACCCAACAGATGAGCTTCCAACAGCTCTCCCTTACAAGGCTACCAGCTATACCTACAACGTCTAATTTCAGGTCAAAGAAAAAGGTACTCTCCTTGAAAAGGTAGAAACTACTGATGTTTTGACAAATTAGTACCAATCGTATATTGATTATATAGCCTCCAGATGGAAATGATCACTTTTGGGAAAGTCTATTTCGAAGGAAACTTCTAAAAATTCAAATCACCCATGCATAAGCCCAACCAGGGTGCGCGCGCTGAGAAGCAGCGCCACTCTCGCAGGAGAGTTCTCATAGACCATCAGCACCGCCGTCATCAGAGTTCACGACCAAATCCTGTCAGCCCCCTCAGTGGGTCTGTTCTTCTGCATCACGGTCAACAGCAATATAAATCAAGAGCATGTTCTCAGTTGCAAAGTGATATTGACTATGTTGCCAGAAGGAACAAAAAATTAACGGGGAAATTCTGTGCAACACCGGGCAGTTGCAAAACGCCTTCTGCAAAGAGAACAGGGAGGGGATAAGCCATCATGCTTCTAACGAGGCTGGGTACTTTGAAAGTCGTGGGGCTGTTTTCACATGCCACTCCTGGCCCGGAGCGCTGCTCCTCTGGACAATGATACCTGCTCTTGATTTGTCCATCCAAACCACTTCGCTCAGCTGTTTCTTGAGCACATGCTAGTTGGTATCTGGCCTCCCCTGGAGCGACAGTCATTAGGATTAAATAAGCAATTTAAAAACCAATCAATCATAAATCGGAATAAATCCAAAGAAGCTCAAATGAGCACACAAATGTTTTGTCTAAATTCCCCTTGTGGTGCTCTGAATTCCAACTGTTTTATGTTCTTCACTGAGAGGGCGCAGGGAGGAGAGGATTACCTCAGCCAGCCCATCAGGAATAATTGCGCCTTCCCCGAGGCTGGGCGATAATTGACTCATTATTCACAGGCACAGCTCTCCAGCTGCCAAGACACAAATGCACAACCGAGGTCCAGAGAAACACATGTCAAAGGCCTGAGATAAGGGACACAATGGCACTAAGTTGAAATTTTTAAATGTCCAGGGTTAGGCACTTAAAGAGAAAAAAAAATGTATAGTATAAAGTTCCTGAAAGTTTATATTCCGGAAGAAAACCTGCATGGCAGTTGAGTTAGGCAACTCATTCAATCTGAAAGGTATATCCTGGGCATCAACTATGTGCAGGTTGAAAAGATGGGTAAGAGCCAGTCCTACCCTTCCAGGCATTACAAATAAGAAGGGAAGCCAGGTATGCCAACCACCAAAACAGAACACAGCTATGGCAGATGATATAAGACGGCTGTCAAACACAATTTCACCAGGGGCCACATCAGCCTCACGGTTGCCTCCAAAGGGCCGAATGTAACTTTAGGGCTGTGCAAATGTAACTACTCCTTAACAGTTAAGTGGGAGCTCGGTGCTGCCACAGGGTAGAAACAAGGTGTGGGGCCGGATAAAACAAGGTGGAGGGCCAGGTTCAGCCCACAGGTGTGTGTTTGCCACCTGTGCTGTAAGCAAAGTACAAAGTCAGAGAATGGTGGTGTAAAATCATGATCGGTTTGGGAAATCACAAAAGGCTCCAGTTTCAGCAGGTGAAGAAAGCGAGGAGTTCTCCCAGCAAGGGAAACTTGCACGAGCAAAGCCCTGCCCCCCACCACTCCCCACCGTGGGAAAGCACAGAGCCCAGGGGAGAAGCGCCAACTTTGCCAGGAAGACAGGAGTTACATTTAGTGACATGTGGCAGGGCTGACATGGAAGGATCTGACGAGAACTCTGGCTTTACCCAGGTCCTTGGGAG